GCTCTTCCCCCTCCCTGCTCTTGCCTCGTTGGTTTGCATATTGCCCAATTGTTGCACTTTCCCAATATCTGGAGGACAGCAACTGACACGAGCCCATACTTTTTGTCACTGGAAATATGTAAGATATGGTCTACATTAGTAACATGGAATAATCATTCATAAAGTGACCCATTACATCATGAACCATGTTACTCCATCTTACTAATATAGCAACCGTCATTAAAGTGACCTTTATTACCCATTATCTTATCACTTGAGCATTTGTAATAAGGCATTAATAATCACAACCTTCCGTTACACCACAGGTCCTCCTCATAATTACATGAAGGACCTGCTGCTAATCGTATCAGTGGTGATGGGAGTTGGAGGCTGCTGGTTTGCTCAGGCCCAGAACAAAGCGAGTAAAATCCACATAGCCAAGATGATGAAAGATTTGGAAAGTCTGCAGAGAGCTGAGCAGAGCCTCATAGAGCTACAGGAGCAGTGAGTATTTAGTGGGTATTTGTCTGTTATACATGAGATTTTCTTGTTTAGTTGCACTAATAAAATTTTTATTTGCTCAGACTGGAGCAAGCTCAGCAAGAGAAGCGTAATGTTGCAGAGGAGAAGCAGAACCTGGAAGAGAAGATGAGGGATGAGATCATGGGAGCGCAGGAGGAGGCTTATCGTTTGCACGAGCTGAGGCAGGGAGCAGTCAACAAGCTCACTCGCCTCCGATATGCAGAGGAAGAGCTAGAGCAGGTAGACACTACATACCTTTCATACAACCAGAGGAAATAACTTCACAATTGCTGCACTGCAGTGGTTTTTATTTCTGCTGTAGTTTAAACACACAAAACCCAAATTTCACCAGTTTCTGAACTCACTCATGTTTAACATTTGACTGATTTAATCAGGTCCGTGGAGCACTGAAGCAGGCAGAGAAGGACATGCAGGACAGCTGGACTGTTTCAGAGGTCCTTCAGCAGTGGCTGCAGCTGACACATGAGGTTGAGGTCCAGTTCTACAGTATCAAAAAGCAAAGTGCAGAACTACAGCTTGCCATCGCCAGGGAAGAGGTAATGCATGAGGAGGAGAGAAACCAAAGGATAATTTAAATGCATGGAAAATATTTATCAGCTTTTTGTTTTCATCATTTTGTGTGTCTCAGTTTTTAATCATTGCTGACACTGGCTATGTGCTAGTAATTGACTACAATAAAAGATCAGGGTTAAGACCTCATCTCTGCTGAGTGACCTAGCTCCTACTGGCTAAAGTACAGCCCAGATTTCCTTGCAGGCAGAGAGGATTAATAAGAAGAGGAATTCTGTTCTGGGGACTCTCCATATTGCCCACAGCTCCTCTCTAGACCAGGTTGACCATAAGATATTAGGGGCAAAGTGAGTAACAAAATTATAATTATGTGTGTTGCAGTAAATGTATAACACATACTGCATCTTAAAAAACACCTTTGCACTGCCCAAAGGAATGCCTTGTATGAAGTAACTGCCTGCCTACGGGAGCGCCTCCATCGCTGGCAACAGATTGAGTGCCTCTGTGGCTTCCCCATCATCAGGAATCCTGGCCTAGCAAACCTCACTGCTCAGCTCTACTCAGATTCTATTGCTCTGGGATTTCCCCGAGTTCCCCAGTCATCCTATTCATGGCATAGGTCTGTCCAGGGATCTATAGAGGATCTGTTAGAGGAGTCTGCTTCTCCAGTCTTGCCGCAGATGCCAGGTAAGTAACCTGGGTGATTTAGTTTGTTTTGTTTTTGATTTGACATTCATTTTGAATCCCCATTAGTGTTAACAAAGTGTTCATTTAGGTTGAGATTTGGCGACATCACTGGCCATGGCAGGCAATTCACATAATTGTACAAAGTAATAAATCAATCCCAATGTAATCAGTGGATTTGCCTGCAGAGGCAATGTAAACTCATTAGTAAATGTTGAAGCCTGACATGACAGTGGTTAGCTTGTCAGTTACAGTAATTTATCAAGTCCTTTGAGTAATAAAGATGTAATCAAGCTTCTAGAACCACATAATTTGCAAAAACACAAGGACACATTTTTTTCTGCTGTTACCAGACTTTAAAGGTTTAAAACTACCAACTAATCATTGCCACGATGACACCTCTACCTTTTAGGTGTGCATTTATCAATTTTGTTGGGTGATTCATCTTTGGTCTTTCTCCAGTTCCGGTTCCACCACTGAAGCGTTCACCACGAACACGGGGATCCACCATATGTCTGTCACGCCGTGCCGGCATGATCACTCAGCCACAAGCTGCCATGGTCTCTCCTGATCCTCTCATACCCATCCGAACTCCTTACCCTTGCTTTGATGAGAAAGAGGGGCTTTTCCTGAAACCTCTAAAGAAACAGTATGTTTCTTTATCCCCAACTTTTAAAGACCACTTTGTTTTTATACACATATTAAACAACAATTTTCATTCCTTCTTTGATCCATTCCTTCTTTCCTTCCCTGCCTCTTTCTTCTCTCAATTTTCTTTCTTTCTCTCACTAATAGAGACTCTCAAGAGAGGTTCTCAGACACAGATTATATACCTTCATCTCCTCTCAGCAAAATGTTCCCTAGTCCTACGTTTGATACATCCTCTCAAAAACTACATCAAGATGAAGCTGAACTGCTCGCAGACAGCTCCATTACAAAGCCTTTGAGAAAAGAAGTAGAACTGCCCATTCATGAACCTTCTATAGAAGACCTTGAAACTTCTGTAGATCTTGCTTGCTGGAAAATGGCAAAAGACAAAGTGTTGGATTCCTCTCTGGAAAATCCTTTGAAAATGAGCAAAGAAGAATCTTTTCTAGTTAGAAAGGGACATTCTGCTGAGTTGGATGCAGAATTTCCAGCCAGGAAAGTAGAGAGAGATATGATAGGGGATTTGGTGGACACTGCTTCTCGGAATATATACAGAGATAAAGGTGATTTATCACTGGATGTGAGAAAAAGTCTTTGGAACGAATTAGAAGCATCAACAGATGTGGCGCCAAGGAATATATCAAGAGATATGAAGGGAACTTTGATGGACAGCGTCTCAAGAAAGATGATACATGATGATGTTGAACCTCCTTTTGATTCACTATCCAGAAAGATTACAAGAGATTCAATGGGAACGTCCCTAGACACATGTTCAAGACAGCTTCCATGGACTAAAGGAGAATGCCAGCTCGATTCCTCTGTAAGGGCATTAGCAATGGACAAAAAGGTTGAGACTGCCAGAACACCACCAAGAAAGATATCTAGAGATGAACTAGAGTATTCTACATATAGTGCTTCCCCAAAGATGCTACCCAGGGCAATATCTGAAGCACTTAGGGATACCACTACAGAGAAGCAAGAGTTTGGTTTAGAACCGTCAACAAGTAGGAGGATACTAAGAGATGAACACGAGATGTCTGGTGGTTCTCTCAGAAGGAGAATGCCAAGAATGCCAAGAGATGACATTGATAGTTCAATAGACAATCCAACAGAAAAAGTGTCCTGGAATAGAGTTTATATTCCAATGGAATTACCTAAACAATCAGTACAGAGGGAGGAGGTGGAAGCATCTGAATCAAGTTTATCTCCAAGTCGAACTGAACAGCCAGACCTTACAGTAACCTCCCATGTGCCACAGAAGTCATCATCAGATCTTTTTAGTGCCGGTCACTTGAGTCAGCTTGTATATGATGGAATCCTTGAGAAGTCGTACACCTCTATGGCAACAACGCCAACCACCCTCTCTGCATCAACATCTAACCTGCCCCAGAGCAGGGTGTTTGAAGAGGCGGAGCCACCACAGCTACTACCAAGGGCTAAATTCCCATCTCCTGCATCATCCCCTGAGACAGGTGATGAGGGAAACAAGGATAAGGAACCAAGAAAGACCAGGAGATCCTTGAAGCTCAAAAATCTTTTTAAAAAGAAAAATGAACCATCTCCAGAAAAGCCTCAAAGTGGTCTTCAGAAGCTTTGACAATTAGCTTACTTTAATTATATTTAAGATTTTATTGAACCAGAAAACTGAGTATCATAACTTATCATATCTGGTAGTGGTTGTGACATAATTTTGCCTAAAGCTGGGCATTTTCAGAGCCTGTGGCATCTGGAGCACGGACAGAAACATGATACATACAGTACAGCCCATGATGTCTAATGTTGCCTGTAAACTATGTCAACAGTACATTTGGGCACATTTAACACAACAGAAAGTTGATAGTTCTGATAGCTGATATTGTTACATGAATTATTTTATATTTGAATATGATTATTTTTCTGTTATTAAGTCTTACGTAGACATATGGTTGATGCCATATATTTTTTTAGATGCAGATGCCAATTTGAGTTCTATGAAATTGAGTAGGAAACAGAGTTTGATCTGATATTTTTAATATTTGCACAAGAACACAGCTGCATACTTCACACATCAAAGTTAGTAAAGCAATTTAAAGGCCCTAAAAACCAATTTTATCAGTTAGCTTTTAACCGTGAACAAAACCATGGAAATCAAATCTCAAACCGTTTTAATAATTTAGCAATTTGTGTTTTCTGTCTTCTTTTCACTAGGTTGAAGTAGGTGGGGCTCAGTTGGAAAAATGTAATGACAGATATTTTCATGCACCAATTAGGATCTTGCCACATTTAAACCAGAATGCGAGAGTGGTGGGGTTGTTTGCTCACTGAAGTGTCAAACCACAGGCCTGATGAAGCAAACTGGCTGCATATTTTTAAGGGTTTAGACTCTTAATCCCATTTTTTCCCCTTAACTTTACAATTGATTTTTACTTAATGATTTTTTGCTTTATTGTTTTTTGACTGTTGCTACTTTGGTTTTATGTAGGACCTGTAACCAAGTTTTCAAGTCTTAAATGTGCTGAGTAGGTCTGCGCTCAGAAAATATTACCTGCAGCAATGAATAATTCATTTTATAACTCTTTTTTATCTCAAGAATGATCAAGAGTTCAAATACCATTTTCAGCCAACATCTGCATATTTAAGGGATGGTTTACCTGCACATTGTTGCTGGGATATATAAATGAAATAACTGGTTGCTTTTTACTTAGCTTGTATGCTCACAGTGAGGCATTTTTAATGCCTGGTCTGGAAATAGCTCATACTTACCCACTTTTTAATAAAGGGATTTATCCTGATCCTGTGGATTAGGCTCAGGACAACCCTCATTTTATGGAAAATGTTTTGATTTTCTGAATGCTCATGTCATTAATTTTTGTTTTTTTGTGTCAACTGTAAGGACTAAAATGTTTCCTTTGTCATGAACAAAGATAAGCATTGAACTGTAATAAGAACATACTGTAATATTTTATGCTGCTGTTATCTGATTAATTATTATCTATTGAACATAGAGGAAATAAATAAGGTAGTGAACTTAGCAAATGCTGTGCATAAATATGTATATATGTATACACACTATATTGCCAAAAATATTTGCTTGCCTACCTTCACATGCAAATGAACTTGAGCAGCAACCGATTCTTAATCCATAGGGTTTAATATGATGTTGGCCCACCCTTTGTAGCTATAACAGCTTCAACTCTTCTGGGAAGGCTGTCCACAAGGTTTAGAGTGTGTTAATGGGAATTTTTGACCACTCTTCCAGAAGCGCATTTGTGAGGTCAGACACTGATGTTGGACGAGAAGGCCTGGATCGCAGTCTCCTCTCTAATTCATCCCAAAGGTGTTCTATCTGGTCGAGGTCAGGACTCTGTGCAGGCCAGTCAAGTTCTTCCACACCAAACTCACTCATCCATGTCTTTATGGACCCTGCTTTGTGCACTGGTGCACAGTCATGTTGGAACAGGAACGGGGCATAACCAAACTGTTCCCACAAAGTTTGGAGCATGAAATTGTCCAAAATGTCTTGGTATGCTGAGGCATTAAGAGTTCCTTTCACTGGAACTAAGGGGCCAAGCCCAACTCCTGAAAAACAACCCTACATCATAATCCCCCCACCACCAAACTTTAAAATTGGCACAATGCAGTCAGACAAGTACCGTTCTCCTGGCAACTGCCAAACCCAGACTTGTCCATGGGATTGCCAGATAGAGAAGCGTGATTTGTCACTCCAGAGAACACGTCTCCGCTGCTCTAGAGTCCAGTGGCGGCGTGCTTTTACACCACTGCATGCGACGCTTTGCATTGTACTTGGTGATGTAAGGCTTGGATGCCAGCTGCTTGACCATGGAACCCCATTCCATGAAGTTCTCTACACACTGTTCTTGAGCTAATCTGAAGGCCACATGAAGTTTGGAGGTCTGTAACTATTGACTCTGCAGAAATCTGGAGACCTCTGCGCACTATGCGTCTCAGCATCCGCTGACCCCGCTCTGTGATTTTACATGGCCTACCACTTCGTGGCTTAGTTGCTGTCGTTTCCAATCGCTTCCACTTTGTTATAATACCACTAGCAGTTGACTGTGGAATATTTAGTAGCGAGGAAATTACATGACTGGACTTATTGCACAGGTGGCATCCTATCACGTTACCACGCTGGAGTTCACTGAGCTCCTGAGAGCAACCCATTCTTTCACAAACATTTGTAGAAATGGTCTTCCAATGGTCTGTCCTTAGGTGCTTGATTATATACACCTGTAACCATGGAAGTGGTTGGAACACCTGAATTCAATGATTTGGATGGATGAGTGAATACTTTTAGCAATATAGTGTACATCCAGTCTGATCCACTGTTCAACACACATGCTGACTTTTTAGACTTTTCTGATTTACCTAACGTCCTCTCTCACCTGCTTAGAGCATAATATTTTCTGCTACAACACATCACTGTAACAGCAACACTCCCTCCATAACCACAATGTGACACAGTGTGTGGAAGGAAAAAGCTGGACCACCTGTGTGATCTTGTTACCCTCTGAGGATATGATGCATCTTATGGTATCAAAGCCCTCATGTCTGTCCCACATGTGATAAAGTGGCTAAAGGGAAACACTGCTACATGTGATGTGAACTAACTGACTGCACTTGTGTTTAGTGTCAGTTTAGTCCTGTTCGT